CCGGAGGGACTAAGATGTTATCCCTCTATATGCTGTAATTACCGAAATACTGCTTACAAAGCAAGCAGCTTGGCGGCTTAAGAAATTACGGTAGTGAGACTAAAGTCGACACAGACTTGGTAATAAATAACTCTGGACAATTAACACGGCGACATCTAGTCCCACGGTAATTAGAGCTTGTGTTATGGGTATTGTACGTTGGACGCCATTTTCTGCAATCAGCCTCTCATTTGGGCCATTGTGCGTATAAAGCCTAGGCTACTAGAGTAGCCAGCCAAGCTCCTCTCAAAAGCGCAGAAGTCTCCTGGTGTCTTCACAGGCAGACTGAGCGACTTCACCGTTCCGAGGATTTGTTTTCGTTGTGTGGCTATAGCAGTAGCCACTGTGTTGTGTTATGGGTACTAGACAACTGATATAAATTCTTAAACATAATATATTTTTGTATATATCTAAGATTGAGGTTGACGGATGAGCTATCATTGCACTCAACCATATTAGAGGGAACACATTAACCCGGCCCACCACGCCGCCACAAGTTACGTTACGTTAAGTTTACATTACTCCACTACGTCATTTATAAAATTTACTGCATAGTCTGTAACTATTACAGTTTTTGTCCATTACAATAAGTCATTAATGAATGTATAATGAGTTTATCCAATATTAAACACTAGCTGTGGCCGCGGTTACACCCGCCTATGTGTAATTCTGATCCATAAGCTAAACTACTGTGAAGTTTCATGAAAATCCATTCAGTAGTTTTCGTGAATGAGTAACAAACATCTATACTTACAAACTTTCGCGTTTATAATATTATTATCATCATAGACAAGATTGATAACTATGTCAAAAGGAAAATTATATACCTTATAACAAATAGCTATGAATTATAAATGTAGCTCTTGGACAGTCCATCTTGGCAAGAGTATATTCACTAATACAATACATTGTATCATTTTAGAACCATATTGATATGAGCTAAGTATCTGTATGCCATCGGAGTTAAGTAATTACATTTAAGTCTATTACCTGCCCAGCTGTCGGTTGTAAAACTAGTTTATACATTGTAGACTTAATTCTTATACCTGCTGGATATTCTTGAAGTAATATATTATTTACCACCTTCAAAAAAGGAGGTTTTCAATATAGTTGTATTGTTTTTGCGTTATTAATATAGTTAAACTGGTTTTAACACGAATAATTTCATGGTAAATAAAGTTTCGACTAGGTTGCAATAGCCGTGGTCAGGAGCTGACTGTACTGTTTTTACTTTGTTTTATTTTGTTTTCCTCCTTATATTCAGATTTTGTTATTCCTTCTGAGAACTCTAATATCAAATTTTAAGAACCATATAGACCATTAGAAAATGTTTTTTTAGGTATATTGGCGTCTTTATTTTTTTTAATATCTTCTTAATATTTATGAAGTACTGATATTTATAAGACTAGAGTTTTATATAAAAACTAGCTGTTCTGGCAAATGTTGTTTTGCCATATAAAATAAAACTGCTATTAAAAAATAGGGGTTGATGATAGAAGAGTGAAAATTTAGGATTATGTATTTTAATGCCACATTATAAAAAAATTAAAAGGTTGTTGTCCAAAAAAATTTAAAAAGATGTAAGTGGTGGACACCCTTATCGCTTAGGGGTATGAAACATAGATAGTAACCGATTCTCAGAACCACTGAACATGCATTTAAGATTTCTTAAAAATCGGTCAAGTCGTTTCGGAGGAGTATGGTAAATAACATTGTGACACGAGAATTTTATATATAAGATAGTATCACACTACCAGTATCATAAACTAGTGCACCACCGGTTTTGCACATGTGACGATTATTGTAAGAGTAGCTTTTTTAAATAAATAAATATTTGTTAAGTAGATGCATTGAAAATTGGAGCACGTGGCAGACTATGACATGACCTAGAGGCATTTTCTCCCAGTCAACCCTACAACAAAGAGAGATTCATGTGGGCCGTGCATTATTAAAATTAACTTAAAAATGTATTCTGTGTATATTATATACATATTAAAAAAAAGAAATTAAGTTTTTGTTTCAATTGTCTAGTACCTATAACACGAGTTCTGCGTAACTAGGGACTAGACTGCACTCTGTGAATTGTCCTGAGTTATTATTTTTATTAGATATTTATTAATTTCTATCGTATTGTTGTTATCAATAGATAGCGTCGACATGACGTCGTGGGCATAACTTATTTTGACATAAAAAATAAACTTATTAAGAGCCCAAAGTATTCTAGATCATGGGGCTCCAAACTTCAGCAAGCAGTATGTTCCAACGGCCGAAACAGTTTTGATCTTTCTGGCCTTAAACATATTTCTAGAAACTTTCTGCAAAGTGCGCGACCTATTATTGATCTAATATCTATATGAATACAACCATTTCAATTCCATATACATTTTAATTCAAATAATTTCAATGACGTCTAAGAAACGAAACACGTGTGGTGACTTGTGAAGTGTGCAAAAATGTTCACAAGAAAATCCCCATACACTGTGACGTAGCGGTACACAGGTTCTGTCTGTTAATTACGTAATTAGTTAATTGCAAGCCGAAGGCCACACACAATAATAGCTTTTAAATTTCATCCTCATGAATTTATTCTCTTTGTGTAAACAATATTAAAAAAAAACTGAATCGTGCTGGTGTTCTTTATTTGAACTTTTGGCGGGAACATGTTTTTACTAATTTAGTGGCAGGTACGTCGAATAGAGAAAAAGGATTGTTGTAGTGTTGTTCTAATGTATTAATGAAATATATATATATATATCGATAAATTTATAAAAGTTGTACGATATATAATTACTTAGGGAAATTATACGAAATGAAAAGAATTAGGTACTACTTTTTCTGAGCATTGTTGCTTCTCTCTTGTTCGGTTGTATTGTTTTTGTTAAGTTACGAGCTATGTTTACCTAAATAGACTTTAATGAGTTTTTTAACAAACAATAGGCCGTGAAAATATCTTAAATTGGTTTCCTACTATTTAACTTCATACAATAAAAGTCCGTTTATTTTATATATAATTTCACAACAAAATGTTAATGATCACAGTGTAAGATAGCTTATTTAGACAATACCTCATGTCTATTGGTAACTAGCTTTACATGCATTACTTTTTATAAATATTGGTTGCTATTATCTTTTTAAATTTCCAATGTAGGCAGGCAAAGGTATCTAGACAATACAGCTCGTTCATTAGGATGAACGAGCAGAAAAATATTTAAAATAAATAAATATGCCTGCCTGTTTAATACCAATAAAAGATTGCCAAAAGATATTTCCTTTATATCCGAACTGGTTTATGTAAGGTGAAAGTAGATATATGTATATACGAAAAAAAAACATTTTGTGTATGGGTTTTTTTTACATATACAATAATAATGATAAATAAAATTTGAAGTTTATATATATGCTTATACTTTATGAACTCTAACGGTCTTCTTAGTAAGTACGTAATAGTTTCTAATCAACATATTTGTCCCCATTACTTCTATAATACATTATTATTGTCTATAATCGAGGTTTATGATAACATCCGCGTTTGTTGGTATACAATGATAGAGACGTAACCTATACGATAATTTGTTTTATAACCCTTTGATATAAACAATTTTAAACCTTCATATTGAGATAACTCATTTATATTTAGTTTCAATAACATTAATTACATCTTGGCCTAGATTTTTTTTAAATATAATTGGAATGGCCAAAAGCTGACTACCTGTTGGTAAGTGGTAAGTCTTTATATATGAACAGCACCACGGACGTTGTTATGATACCACTCATGCGACGTCATTCTAGAGGAGTGTGCATCTTACATAGTAATTTTACAGCCTAATTTAACCGTATAAAAAATTTGCATATAAAATGGCTGAAGTAGGTATGATAAAGATATGCAGAGGACTTTTAGAAAATCTACTTCAATCAAATTATTCAAAAACAAAAAACTTAAATTTGAGCAATTTAGAATGATCACATTAGTTTCTACCACTAGTTTGTTCAATTAGGGAATTGATCTTCGTTCACGGCCTCGATGCTTTAGCACACAGATCTGCTTCCGATGGTCGGGTATTCGATTCCTATTTGTATTCATTAGTATGATTGTTTATATCGATTTAGGTGTTTTCTATGTATATATATTTATATATAAAAATGTATCTAGGCATCTATTAGCGCCATCTAGTGCCAAGTTAAGCAGAGCTTGTGTTATACTAAACAACTGATACAAATAATTACACATTTTTTTTGTAAATACGTTCATAATATATACAGAAATCATCCAGACCAATACAATTATGTTATGAATACATATTTTTACCGTGCGAGGAATCGAACCATTGACCATCGGAAGAATGGAGTGGGCTAAACCGCTAGACAACCGAGGCCGTCATATAGTATAAAACTGGATTGGAATGAAATCGATTTTGAGATTAGAGTGCAAAATAGAGGTAATAAACAGTATAAGGAAGAACATCAGAGGTCCATTCGTTTAGTTACCCTTAGTTCTTACTTTATAAAAGTAAGTCGGACTAGCGAATATTGTTATTACATACCTATCTGACTATATATATATATCTTTATATCTTTGGTCCTGAGTGCGCATATTTTTTAAAAATAATATTCCATATCCGTAAATAACAAGATGGCGGATTCAAAGCGGATTCATACTAAACACATTGAACAAAAACATCTCATTGTTATAATTAAAATAACCGCATTAGATGCGAGTGCAAAAAAAACTGTTTGGGTGCGTGTGTGACATTTGTATTGCCTTGGAATCTATATTTAATTCAGGATATTATAAAGTGCATATATAAATGTGATATTCGTCTACCTTCGCAGTTGACAAACCAGTTCTTAATTAACTAGAAACACATTATTAATACACACGTTAACCACTTCATCACAGAACACAATTCAACATAGATCACTTAGAAAACTAGTAATTTATGTACTATTTTCACATCTCTTACCATTTTTAGTGGTCAAAACAATGTTTTCGTACAAAAAAAGTTTTAGAGATTCGCGACGCGCGACTCCCGCGCTCGATACCTCAAGAATGACATAAAGGAAATATAATTACAATCTGAGGTCAAGTTTACGATAGCCGGCAGTAGAAGACAGAAGGTGTACATTCATACGAGTGAGAGGGACGGCTATATTTTGATTATGCGTCAATTGAGAGGGTGCTCATACGCAAACTCGTTGGCAATGATGCTTCAAACGATTATCTTACTAATTAAGGCTCTACATAAATAGTGTATAATTTTATAAAATCCCGAGTCAAAAGAACCCATTTTATTACGTGAGCATTAGTTTAGATAACGTATGACGTGTTTACCCTCTAATCAAAATAAAAAATACAGTTAATGTGAGGTACATATGTACTATGGGATACCCCAATGTAGATAATAAGCAAGGAGGTATATTCCGTATTGACTATTCTCCACTGGCTCTGATTAATTTAGGACTTATGGATGAGAAAGGAATGGTTTACCCGCCTGCGCTAACGGTACGCTGGCGGGGCACCAGTGGAGGATGATAAGATGAACACGAAGTCAGGTCAGTTAGCCCATCGTGGTAAATACACCATGAACTTACCACGATGGTTTCCAGGGGGAGGAGTTCACGGATTGCGTGGAGGTCACCCTGACATGGTACATTGTTAGTAGTGGGGTTATTAGTCCACATTATTAACAAAACAAGAAGAAAGGGGATTATTTATTTATTTATATAAACTAATAACCCCACTACTAACAATGTACCATGAATTTATCACGACGGTTTCCAGGGGGAGGAGTTCACGGATTGCGTGGAGGTCACCCTGACATGGTACATTGTTAGTAGTGGGGTTATTAGTCCACATTATTAACAAAACAAGAAGAAAGGGGATTATTTATTTATTTATATAAATAAATAAATAATCCCCTTTCTTCTAAATTAGGACTAGACGACATATGACAAGCAAAAAGCCAGTATACCTATAGAACTCAGCCACTAAGAAATAAAGTAAAGTAATACTAAATTGATCACTTGACCGCGCATTTAAGAAAATGATTTCTATTAATCATTTTGTTTTTTTTTCAATGTTTAGTTTTGTAATTTACTATCACTGGCCATTAATTGTAAATAAACAAAAATATAATAAAAAACATACCGTGATGACTCTTACCGCTGATGGGGCAGTCAGTGACATTGTCGACTGTCGATGTTGAGGTAAACGCAATAGGTACTCGACATGCCTACGTTTAGCACGATATATTTTCAATTCAAAGTGGCAGGGGCAAGTCACCCAGACTAATTTTTGGTTTGGTATCAGTGTTCCCTCAACGGAGAGTCAAAAATATAAATTTAAAAATATTTCGCACACTTTGGGACCATTCTCTAGAAATATACTACACTTTGGGAACATTCTGGAAAAATAATTATGACCCTAAGGTTATAAAGTAAATTTTTTCTATTCGAAAATCATTTTGATTGAATTTATCTATTGCAAAATACGGTCGTCCATAAGGTTGTACTACAAAGCGACGTAATTTCGTTTGTCTATTATTCTTCAAAAAAGACAAAAGGGTTGTGTTGTACTTACTCGTAATTGGCGGGAAAACGCGATTATGGCGGGAAATGGTTGCCATGGTAACATTGTGTTGTAAGACATTCTAACGGTATTTTTGTATATAAAAACTAGCTAAACCTGTAAACGTAATTTTGCCATATAAATTAAAATCGCTATAAAAATAGTGGGTTGATAGTGGAAGGGTATCTTTAGGTTTGTACGTTTTTTTAATGCCAAATCATGATAAAATACAATAAAATATTTTGTCAATCAAATGAAAAAATATTATGCGTTAAGGGTAACCTCTTATCATTGAGGAGTATGGAAAATAGATGTTGGCCGATTTTCAGACCTACCCGATATCGATACCGACTCAAAATTTCATAAAAATTGGTAAAGCCGTTTCGGAGGAATTTTGTAACAAACATCGCGACAGAAGAATTTTATATATTATTTTATTAGTCCATCATAAAATGGAATTTTCTGTGTATTTAAAATAAGAAATAAATAATGGACCTACATGAATATTATCTCAGGTAGGGTAATCAGCTACATTGGACGTGCCCACATTTCACAGGGTATATCGAATCCAATGTGACAGGGTTCACGTGACAGGATCTCAGGTTAACGTTGTTTACATCACAGGAGAGTTAGTCAAAAATGTAAATTGAAACAAACTGATATACAAAGAATTTTGGTGACGTCAGATTGAACTCACGACCACGACGGTTAGTCAACGACACTGTATAATCAACTGAACTTTCTATATAAATGAGTCATATGCTGTAGGTATAATATTAACGTAATATAAGTCTATACAAACCGTAATTACTTGCTCGGCCACCTATTGTAATTTAATTGGATTTTCCCAAATTGCTTTAATAAATTATGTAGTCGTGAACATATAGACTGATAACAGATACGAGTAAGTATTTAAAAAATAGAATGTTTATTTACAAAATATTCGAATATAATAGTAAATTCTTTATTCAAATAAAATATATTAAGCACTTTTGAATAGTCATAGTTATTGTTCTTTTAATTCTTTTTTAGTTATTGTTCTACCGCTCATTTGGAAAGCTTTTTTTTATTTTTATGGCTGTTTAACCCCAGATAATGGAAAAACAAAAGGGACCTTTTTTGTGCAGAATTTTTTTTACTACAACTTTTATTTAAAACATTTTTTCATATTTTTTTATCGTTATCGAGTTATTTTGAAAAAAGGCGTTTCTCATTCATCTTTTATTATTTTTTTCATTCCTTTCCCGTCAATTTATCAAACATATCAAAATTTCTTTCTGATTTGCGGCCTTATTTTTATATATTGCGCCAAAACTGGTCACATCATGTTTTAATTTAATATTTTATTGGACTATTAAATATAGCATTTATAATATAGTAAGACTTTTTTTTTATTTATCATGACCATGGATACATGTCCTTCAGTTGTTCTAAGATGTTCCTATAATTACCACTAGATTAGATAGAAATATCTTTTTTGTTACAACTCTTATAAAAAGCTTATTTTTTTTATTCCTAACTGATTGAATAAGCTTCAATTAAAGCATCTTAATCGACACTAAGAACTTTAAATAGAACTATTGCATTGGAAAATCTACATCTTTTTATTGTACCCTTAATGTAATGCGGATTTACGGAAAGATCAATTAATACTGGCTCTTCTTTTTGAACATAGTATTCTTCAGTCGACTGTGAAATTAAGCTCGAAGTTCCGACCTTATTCCAATACCAATAGAGATTAAAATTAATAATTGATATTAGTATTCATTTGTTTCTGGCCCTTAATAGGGAAATTGAAATTTATTATTATCGGTTTAAGAGTGATTTTGCTGTGTTTGGTGTTTTGCTACTAATCGGCGTGATCGGGTACTTTCCACCCGTCTTGGAACGTCTATGCAAGATTAACGTTGGTTAGTGAAATACAATATCGACATCGATAACCATTTTTTTATATACATATTTTTAATTCTATTATGACAATAATTAAATATAACAAAAACACGAACGAAAGTTTTAAAAAATTGTGAAGTTTGTTTATTTGTAATACTTTATTGTACAATAATATTATAAATGAAAGGACACAATTGACTTAGAAAAAAAAAACATGCGTACAATGGCGGACTTATCCCAGAAGAGGGATTTCTTCCAGTCAACCTTTGAGTTACTGAGAGGAATTGCGCAGTGGTGGAAATAGGTACAATAAATAATACGCGTCACAATGACATCTATAACCAATAATATATACAGAAAATACACAAAAATATATATACGTATACATACATACATACATACACATACATATACACATACACACACCAGAAATGAAAAGAAAAATAATGTAAATAAGTGGAGCATTAAAAAGCTAAGTTCACTGTAAAAAAGAATAACAAAATTTGTCAAATACGAATAATATTCATATACAAGCAAAAACAGCAAGAAGTTTTAAAAATATAAAGTTAAAATCACTGCGTAAAAAGAATTAAAAAATCTGTCAAATACGAAACTGGTGTAACTGGCAGTTTGAATGAAGCGACAGAAGCGCCTGTTGTTAAAAGTTCACAACTTTGGATAGGATTGCGGTTTCAATATGTGCTGACGCTGGAAAACCTTTTTGTTTTTAATCTGCTTTTTTTGCAGTTTTATTTACGTCACGTTATTTTATACAGGTTTAAATGGAAAGGGTTGTGTCAACTTACACAGTGACAGTATTTGTGAAATGAACATTTTCCCCTTATACCTAATAATATGGGTCGTTTGTTGATAACACCATTTTGGAGCATTCATGTATCAGAAACTATCGTGGCTTGGTGTACTTTATTACTATGAAATGGATCAAAAGGTCGTGAGTCCGATTGCCTCATTCTGTGATAGAAGTGTTTCTATCACAGAATATTATTTGTGTAAATATGAACTAAATAAAAACAAGAGACACACTAATGCAGCGCCAATCGCTGAGATAGAAATATGTAGAGCTATCTATTTTGAATTTTAGCTTGAACCTATCAAATTAAATATGATGCCATCAAAACTTAACAATCATTGAGGAGGTATTATTTTATGTAATTCATGACATTCGCATGAGGGAGCGAGAACACAACTGTTATAGGAATAGTTTTCATCCCTTTGATGATGGTCCTTATAATAAAATTGTTTTAACCCCTGACGAAAAAAGAGGGGTTTTTTCGTCAGGGGTTTTGTGAAAAAATATGAATGAAGGAATTGCTTGCCATGCATGTTAATAGGAGACTAAATACTCCTCTTGTGGGGGAAGGAGATTGTTAGTCATGTGGATTAAAAACTCCATTGCTGGCACTGTGCCATGTCGGGTTGAAATTTGTTGTAGAAATATGTAATAAAACTATTTATGACTGAAAAATGTATTTTAATGTTAAGATGGTAGATACTGAAGTGACATGATATAATTTTGTTTTTATATTTTTGATTATGGAATAGAAAAAACCATTAAATATATTAATATCAAAAGAGT